GGTGGAAGTCTGAGCACAATGAAACCTGAGAATTTCTGTCACTCTCTGCATATGGTCCGAAGTGCTTTAATCCCAATTAGGGGCGGCTGACACACGGTCCTATTCATCCCAATCAGCTCTTGAATACATTTGCCTAGAAATGAACTTCACAAATAGACTTTCTCCTAAATGTGCCCAACAGCAAGGAAAATCGAATTGAGGCAGGGGCTCATTCTGAGGCGATCGAGGGAGAAAAGGTATGAATTTATAAGGTACACCGAAACATTGCAATTCAGCAACAAGTTTACTGACTTTTATTTGCACCATGTCAACCGAAAGAACCAAGAGATACGGTGGGGGTTGCGGGAGAAGGGGAGTACGGTTAAAAGGCAACTTTAGACAGACTTTGAATACTTTATGCGGCAAGCTTCGCCTCCAATTGAAGTTGGGCTAAAAAGAAAAAAAAATCTCAGCCCCTACACTGGATTTTTTAACGAGCACAAAACGTGTTTGGATCCGATCTGGGCTGACGCTCGCGATTAACAATACGAATACCAAATCGAGCTCCTGTCATCTGCCCGGATTCCCATAGAACCTGAATTACTATTCAAAAGCTGCTTTAATATCCCACTCGCATCTCGTCTGCACCGCACAGCTGGTTGGGGGCCGCTCGGCCCCGCCGGTCGGCACCGCCCGCCCGCAGCACCGGGCACCGAGCACCGGGCACAGGGCACCGGGTACCGATCACCGGGCACCGAACACCGAACACCGAGCACCGGGCACCGGAAGCGCCCGGCAGGGCGGCAGCGGCTGCTGCGGGCGGTGTCACGGGGGAGAAATGGAAGTGAGGGAAAGGGAGAAAGTAGAGCAAAGGGTGGAAGAGAGAAGGGGGTTTGAGAAAGAGCGGCTGAAACTAGAGAACGTGAGCGAGATCGAGGGAAAGGTACTCGGAAATAGCAGAAGAGAAAGAAGGGGAAAGGCAGGGAACAAGGGAAGGGAAGGGAAGGGAAGGGAAGGGAAGGGAAGGGAA